CAGCAGGAGGATGGACTGGATGACATCCTGATGACCCTTTCAACCTAAATTTTTCCAAAGAGGGGTTTGTACAATAAGGATTACCAGAGGTTATGGAATAGAGACATGTCTTTAGCAGAAATGTTGCTCAGGCACAGTAAAGATGAAGCACAACAATAAACAAAAAAACCCTAGCAATTTGATAGCTATTTTTTACCCTGTGTCCTCAACTACCAGTCAATTCAAAAGAACATCAAGAAGCTTTAGTGCAGCCACAAAAAAAGGTACCTTTTAAAAACAGTATGGATCTCAGAACAGATATAGATTTGGACATCTGGACTGGACTCCTAAAAATTCCCAGTCCCTCTTCTTCACCAGTGACACACCACATTTTAGATTAATAGATACTTACATTTGAGTAAGAAAGGTTAGAAATTTTTTCTACAGCAGCATAAAGGAATTTCAGCTACAAAATGAACAATTTCACAACCTATTCCTTCAAAAATTAACATTATATTTTAATTAATGTTTAAGTGCCAGGGTAAGCGGATTTTCACTATCAATGTCAATACATTAAGAGAAAACGTAAACTGTATTAGGTGACAATTGATAATACAATCAGAATAAGGAAAAAACACCAGCATGATTCTCTTTAAAATACTAAAAGCTCCTCTATTTTTAATTGACAGTAAGTGTTTATTCATTGTTTATTCTGCTCTGTGCTTCATCAAACATAATAAAATTGGGTATTACTTCCATGGCTTTCCTCAGCCTAAGCAGGATGGAGACATCCACTGAATTCATTTGTTATCTACAGGGTATTTAACTGCTCCCCAAATGCATCTGTTTCTAAAAGCCACTTGAAGCATGTAGCCTGGTGCTTGACTAAATAAAAAAATCCGTATTACCACAAAATCAAAGGACCAGAAGACTTAAAATCTGTACAGAAAGAATTAGCTATATTAGGCTTTCAATTGCCTAAGAGAACATTAAGAGCAACTAAGAATTTTTCCCAAGTCCATTCATTGTGTTTTACCTACCTAGTGTCTTCACAGTATAATGAGGACTCTCCAAAACAATTCCTTCTTCTGTATCAAACATTGGATTATCTATTCCAGTTTTAGGAGGAATTTGTGCTAGTTTCTTTAGCCTCATGGAAGCAGTAAGGTCCAGTTCTTGTTTCTTTCCCTCTTCTTCCCGTCTGCGCCTTATGTCCTCTTGCTGCTGACGGATTCGCTCCAGTTGAGCGCTCCGCCGCATGGGCATCATCCTGGAGCCCAATTCCCCAGGGCAATCAACAGCCATTTCTCTGTGCTTCTGAGGTTCTTCAAGAGATGCAAGATCCACATTTTTTGCTTCATTGTCAGAATCTTCTGTGATATGTCCATTCATGTGAGACGTTGTCATGATTGTTTGTAATTATGCTTATTCACTTCAAACAGAAATGCTGCTATGAGGCCAGTTTTCATTATGATGTTGCGTAAAATCCATTATAACTTCACAAATATTTCCCTTTCATCAGAGACAGTTGAAGAAACATTCAGGAAGAAAATCTAACAAAAGATATTAAAAAGAAGTTAGTGAATACCTGCATTAATAAGAAAACACATAAGACAGTTCTCCAAGTCCCCAGGAAGCAGAACAAGGGAACTTTTCCTCCATATTTACTTAGTGCTTCTTCCCCTACTAAGAACTACAGAAACCTCACATATACCTTTGACACATTTGAGTAAACTTCAGGTGCCAAAAGGCACTTAGAAAAGGAGTACTATTGAAACTAATGCTAAAGTTTAATTTTCCAGTCAAAGCGATGGAGATTCTGCACTTAACACACATAACTGCATATCAGCAGTTTCCTTCAAGTTTTCACTTAGTTTTAGTTCACCCTTTCTTTCTTAAAAGTTCCAACACAAATCATGTTTACAGTACTACAAACAAATTATTAATAATTTGTTATAAATAACATGTTTGCAATAAATTTAGTAAGTTAAACACAAGATACTTGAATTTAATGTTTATAAATTGAGGCATTTTTATATAAACATCGCTTTCCAGATTCAGAGAAGACAGGTCTGGCAAAGAATTCTTCCAGAAGATACTATCTAAAGCAGTCTGGAAGCTGCACTTACAGAATTCCAAGTAGGGATAAAGTCCTGGGATAAGAGTTGGACAGGTCTGGTTAGCAGCTACTCTTAATACTTCCTGCAGGTATGCATTAAAGCAGAACGGATTAAATACAAGATTAAAAAATCCCTGTGTGGGCATATGGAGGTATAGATTTGACAAAGAACAGTAACAAATTTCCACAGTCAATAGGGAGATTCCACTATACTCCTTACACCTTAATCTGGTTTTTCATTCCTGATGATTCAAGCTAAAGAATTTAAGTGTCCAGACAAATATAACCACTCAGCTCTTAAATATAATACATATAACTATGTGTTTTATACCATATTCCCTTTCATAGAATCTTAGGGGCTGGAAGGGACCTCAAGAGATCATCTAGTTCTGTATCACTAAGCCAATGGTATGTTATCATCCATATGTCCAAATAAAAGGTCATAAAATTAATAAACAGTTGTGAACAGTATTACCAATACATTTATAATTTTTCAAGTTCTTTTTAATCTTTTAATTTACTGAAAGAAATCACTATTTTATTATACACTGAAAGTAACAAGATAGAAACCCCCCCATCTTTCTTAAACCAAATATTTGTGTTTGGAGGAGGAAGGGAAAGATGCTTACGTTGTAATTAAGTTAAAAATTAAAGATCAATAGTACTGTCTTGGAGAAGCAGCAACAGAAACTCCTACATGAATTTCTGCAAGCTTGCAATTCTAAGTACAGCTTTTTATTTTCATAAGGAGTAGTATACAGCTACATACTGCAACACAATTTACTTGCTTCCTGTGTAGCCACTACTACCAATTATTATTATTACTACGATTTCTAAGTAAATATTACAGCATTTCTATGGTTTTGCCTTTGAATTATACTTAATCACAATGCACTGATATGTAAAAACTCTTCAGAAAAAATTCAGGCAAAGAAAAGCACATAAAAAACTGCATAGCAGTGGGTCTAGCCCTGCAAGTACAGCACAACTATTTGATGCCTGTAAAACTTCCAGCTAGTGCCTATCTTAAAACTAACAGCTTTTCAAAGAATGAAGTCACATAAATTAGCATTCAGACAAGGTTATATGAAGCACCATATGAAAAAGCAGTCTGAAATTCAGAGAAAGGCAGATAACAGTTTAGCAAGGTAATCCTTGGAAAGCTGTATTTCTCCTTCTGTAAAGGCAACTTCATTGTACAGAAATACCACTCGCAAAAAAAGGAAGGCTCATTGGGTACAGACTTGCTGAGAGCGCTAATTTAACTGGGGGTGGAAGATAACTCAAATTCTCTTTCATCACTATTGTACTGGCCATAGCTTGTCTGAAAACTGAACCTTTTGAAAATTATATTCACCTTCAACTCTGACAAGCTGAAAAAAAATTCATATTCTTCAGTCCATCCAGTACAACTAACAGGTGTTGAAACAATTTAAGGGAATGAGTAATATCCATTTCCTCAGCAGTAAAGAAGTCAAAACTACTATCTGAGGATATGAAAGAAGTACAATGGTCCTAAGGAACTTAACATGTAAAATATGACACTGATAAAATGTTAACTAAGTCCTCTAATTAGGGTGTGGTAGAGCTAAGGTTAAAAATAAGATTTAGCTTGAGGCAGGCACCAGGAGAGAAAATGTTATTCTAACCAATAAGCATGGCATCAAAAGTCTTATGATTAATAATGTTAGAAATAGTTTTCCTGGCTTTTCCTTCTAAAGCTTTTCTTTTCAATTATACAAATCCCGAGATAACAAGACAAGGTTTTTATAACAAATCTGTTCTCTGCAAGATGTGAATCATCCAATGAACCAGCTTTCAGCCCAAGAAGAGCTTCTTTTGTTACATTAATTCTTATAGTAAGGGCGAAAATTTACTGACGTGCTCAATAATACTGAGTTTTACTATGTAAAAATATATAATAATATTTGGAATGAGCAGACTTATTTTCTAGTCTAGAACTTGGTATTAGCATTTTTTATACTCTTTAAATATGTACAAGTCTCTGTGTTACAGAGTTTGTTGCTCAAAATTTAACAGGCGCTTGACTGTCTTACTTTGGACTGCCTATATCTAACAGGGCAGCCTTAGCATTTCCACAAGACACATAGATCTTTCCAAATAAAGCAGATTTATGATTCTTCTCTGACAAATTTCATATCACAAGTCTTAGCAATATGGTTCTGAAGAACATATGCAAAATTGTCTTCTCCACAGACTGCTTTTCTTTTAAAAAATTTCCCT